TAATAATATATTTTAAAAAATAATATCCAATTCAAGATTCCCCAATTCATAATAATAAAGCAAAATCTTTCTTTCTAAATTTTCATTCAATTTTTTGAAAATCAATATATATAATGAAATCTTAGAAGAAAAATGAATTATTTTCAATATTCGATATAATTTCATCTTAAGCCTTAATCTATTCAAGTAATAAATTTTATCGATATACAATTTTTATATATCAAGTTTTTAAAGGAAGTAATCTAATATTATTTAAGATATTCATATTAAAATAATCTCTAGAAAAATTCGTATTAATCAACTATCCCATGGATTTTAGTTTTGTAAGATTAAAATCATATTTAGTAAGTTCCTCCCAAATATCCATGAGAATAGGAGAAGGGGTGGGACTCATATCCCCAACTATTTAGGGTATTGTTTTCCCGAAATATTATTCAAAAAGCCACCCTATATTTCAAAGGCAACTAAACATCAGGCTAACTTGACCTGAAAGCATTTCATATATTCATGTACTCATGTATATACTGGACATATTGCGTGAATCTGATGCAATTTGGTGCTGAAAGACATTTTGTTGTAAAGCTTTGGAAATCGGCTACCCCATACACTCTTCTTTGTTCGCATTGAAGGATTCATGGAGTTGGGTGCATTGAACAATTTACAAGTTTAACTGCTGCTGTCGGCACACCCAGGATTTCCGCCAGCTTCTCCTTGTGAGCAAGTTATAAAGCCCTAAACCCTAAACCCTAAACCCTAAACCCATGACTGACAGGATGCTCATGCGTGTCCTCAAGGATGTCGTGGCCATGGATGGCGCTGAGGTGCGCGTCGGATGAGGGCACCAGGGTGCCCGGCAAGTGCACTTGCCTGGCTGTCGGACAAGTCATCGACGGCTGTATACTTTTTTGGGAGGTGACCACCTCTTAATGACTTGGAGGTAGCTGTGCGCAGTAGACACACCATCATTGCATCTCAATGTGAAGGAGCCAGGCAAGTTGGGCAATTGAAGTGGAAGCAAAGTGAGCGTCCCCAACCCAAGTGTCTTGCATGCTACCGAAGCAAGCAAGCTACCGAAGCACTCCAGCAAACAATGTTGGCTTTGGGTTAGTAACCCCAACCGCACAACAAGTTGAATCTGGAATGGTTTGGCGGTTTATGTGGCCTCGTCCTTGAACTTGAATTTAAAACAAACCCAAAACCTTGAAACCTCCACGCTAAACCCTCAACCCTGCAGTAAGCCTCAAGTTCGGTTGGCTGGCTCACTCTCCCCTCTCTTCTTCTCTTCCAGAGCACAGTTTCAATTTGAGCTTTTGGGACAAATCATGGGAGCCTGGGGTGGACATACGGCTCTGGGTGCTCTATTCGTCTGTGAAGGCAACATTTCGCACTATCTCGGGATACTTTTTGCCACTACGTGCCGAGAACAGTTCGCACTATTCCGGATACATTGCTGGTCGGAAGTCCGAATTAATGATGTCAGCCCCTCGACGGAATAGCTGCACCACAACCAAAGTAGTCCTCAAAAGCTTTGCCAACAGTTCCAGGGTCAAGCTTGCGAGTCGTTGAAAGCCAGCACCTTATTTGATGAATCGAACGCTTTCATCGGTCTGATCCCAAGTCATTCCTGTTTTTTGTCCCTCCAAGGGCCCACTGAATGTTGGCATCATCGTCATGGGTGCACGTTTTGCTTTGTGGTAGCTGAGCCATGTTTTGCCTTCTGGGGGGGGGTATGCGGGGGTCACGACTCCGCAACCTGCCTGGCTAGAACCATGATGCGGTTTCAGCAGAAGGATCCATGCGAGAAGGCTGAGGAAAGCTGATTCCTGCTGCTAAAGTCGAACCCTCACTCACCAATGCAACCAGACACAGCTCAACATATTCGTAGATATGAGCACATCCTGACCGAAACTTTGACATCCAAGCTGCTGTGGCCCATGCGGGCGGAGGCCAGAGGTCCCTCCTTAGACGCATGGAACGGCAATCAAACGACATGAATCGGAGTTGCGCCTGCAGGACATTCTTCAATCGGGCTGTTTGGAGCCTGGAAGGTATGCCGCATGCTGCTGTCTAGTTGGACACAAGTTGTTGCGTTCGCTCACTCTGTTGTGCTTCTAAGCTGTCGAGCGTGCAAGCCGTACGGCTACTGAACCATCTCCAGTTTGATAGATGTATGGCATGGCTTGCAGCACCTATGCATTCAAGCACATGCCGCTCCCCCTCGCGTTGCAGCACAGCATCCGGCACAGAAGATGTACTTTCCCAAACTGAATCTGATTCCACCTGCGCCGCTGACCGCAAAGGGCATCATATCAATTTCACACCAATGCTGCACCGTTTACCCTAAACCCTAAACTAAACCCTAAACCCTAAACCCTAAACCGTGTTTGCCAACAAGAACCAAAGATGAAAAATCATGGCCATGACCCAAGGATGCCTCTTCTGAATATTGCTGTGACTGCTCCACTGAAGAAGAGAACCTGTCGGCAGGTTGGTGCTAGTTGGTGCTGAGCTGATGCCCGGAATGTGTGCATTTGGGCCTATTGCAGTCGAGCTGCCACGGGTGCTTTGACCAGCTCGGGCCAGGAATTCTCAGCACAGCCAGTCGTTGCGGATTTGCAAGTGGGCCGGGAGTGGCATGGAAGCCAGCCGCAAAACTCCGGTATTCGGCCTCAGTGAATCCGAACTGCTTTGACTCAAGCCGTAGAAACGGCTCGTCCTGTGGCCTTGTGAAAAGAACCGAAATCCCAGATTCCTCTTAGCCTGCTAGTGCCTGAAATCTTCAGAACCTAAAACCAGTTCAAACCTGTCCTCACCATGGAAGCCGCCACATCTAAGGCGAAGTTTTGGGGGCAATACTTGTTCATTCCAAGGCGCCTCCTGCGACCAGCTCCGCATCATTGCTGCCATCTCATCTGAGCCGGGGCGAAGTTGCCCGCCCCAGTGTTTCCTACTTTTGTCTCTCCTTGCCTCCATTGAACCCGCTATGATTGTGTCATATTTAAGGGGTATAGGGAGGGACCCCTAGAAGGTACCTTTAATCTTATTCCCCTATAACCATCTATATTAGGCCCTATATGTACCTTATATAGTCCCTACCTAAGTAGCCCCTAAATAAACCCCCAAATAACCCCCTAAGGTCCCTTTTTAAGCTCCACGACATCTTCGACAAGCCACGTCTCCGCGCCGAAACCAGGTTCCGGGGAGTGTGCTCCATGAGATTGCCTGGGCTAAGGGTTTAGGGTTTAGGGTTTCTATATGGGAGTTTCGCAAAATAGGGGTACCCCCTTTTTTACCCCAAATAGAATAGAATCCCCTTAAAGGGACCCCCAAAGTGTGCCCCTATTTTCGGAAGCTTTCGTGAACCCCATTGGCATGGAGGCAGCATCCACACTCATGCCCCTATTAAGATTCACAGGCAGCATGGCAGTGTCATGTCTATGTCTGTTAACTAAACCCCAAACCCCAAACCCCAAACCCCAAACCCTAAACCCTAAACCAAACCCTAAACCCCTAACCGCTAAACCCTAAGGTGAGTTCAACAATCGCAGCTGCCTGAGATTTCTTGCGACGAGGCAGCGCTCGCAAAAGCCATGGCTTGAGAAACAGTTCATGCCCACGTTTAACATGTTTTTGCATAACTTGCACGATGTCGCTGGGTACTGCCTGTGTTGTAAAGTTGCTTCTAGCCTAATGGTGAGCATTGGCTGTACATGTGTAAACGTGGCGTCTGTGTCTCTTTGTGCACCCACACTGCCCACGCTCAGATCCATGAAGAAAACGTTGGAGCGTCAGCTGTGCAGTATGGTCGCCTGAGGATGCATCGCTGCTAGGAGCAACTCTCTAGAAAAGGTCGCTTTTGGCTCGGCCCGCTATGTCAACCGGTCTGCCTGGGCTGCGCAGTCAAGCATACATATGCAAGCCGCAGAACTGGCAAATCGCAACCTTCGCTAAAGTACTCGCTAAATCTTTCGACCATCACTTTAAGAAAGCCAGGTTGCAAGTTTTCCGACTTGATTGACTTGGACACACCATCCACGAGCACCTCGTACCTGCGAGTCTGCAGAAAGACCATGGCAAACCCTCACCACAGTCACATCAGGACTCACCCTGAAACCAACACGATCTACAAATGATCTGCACATTTTACCGCCTGTCAAGCAACACGGGTGTGAAGCGACTCGCCTTCTAGCGCCAACCAAAAGAACATCTGCTACTGGTAGCTTCCCTAAACCCTAAACCCTAAACCTTGCAGCCCAAGAGGCCTCGAAACATCATGGATGTAGCGGCAGACTTCCCCGAGTCGACCATTGAGCAACTGTGCGGCTTTGGGTGCAGCTCTCTCCACTGCGTCACAGCTTGGGATGATACCCCTTATACTAACAGTCCTTAATGGGGATGATAATAGGGGGTACTATAATCCCTATAAAGAACTGTTCGTGGTATAAGGGGGAACATCCCCAAGTCACAGCACTCAAGGATGAGACACACTGCAAGTTCCTTCCCATCTGAGCCTACCAGACATGCTTGGTGAGGGTTGGGCATGCCCCAGCTGACGGATAACGAGGGAGAGAGGGACAAAGAAAGAGTGAGAGAGAGGGACGGAGAGAGGGAGGGCCGGGGAGAGGAAGAAGGAAGGGAGAGAAAGTGCGCGGGAGAATGCTGAGCTGCAGCTGTCTGCAGCCAGCGCATCACGTTATGTGCAGAATGTCGCCTTGCCAGCATCGCTTTGGAGGCTGTGAATCCTGCAGCAAACCACATCCGTCCAAATGTGGCTCGAGCTTACGTACAATCCGATGCAACCAGAATATGCCTGCATGCTTTCTGTGGCGGGAAGTGCCTGCATCTGTCTCCTGGAAGGTACACTTGTTCTCCTTCTGGCCTGAGGTTTTCGGCACCTTGCTGACCCAAAAAGCATCGCCATCTTGCTGAACTTTACATGAAGCAACCGTACCAGTCTGAGGATTCTTGACAACGAGCATATTCCTACCGGGGAATCTCGGGAAGATCGGAACTCGAGTCGTTCTTGACCTCCTGTGTTTCTGCCTCTGTAGCAGCCATCACATCTGCAGCATGTTATGTGGGTGAGGCCATCAAGTCCTCTTTGTTAGGTTGGTGATACCCTTCGGCAAACATCCTTAACTGGTACTGAGGCTGGGTCGGAGAGCCTTGGTTTCGCCGTTGCTGAGCTTTGCCTGTTTGCATATGCCCAGGGCACTGCCATGTGCTGAGTGCAGCCAGGAAGACCTCTCCAGGCAACAGATTCGCGTGCAAGATGCCTCCCAGCGGCCATTTACCGAGTTGTAGCCGACAATCCTGACAGGAAAATGCCAGCAAGAGCTAAGCTTGGTCTGAAAGCCAACTGGGTCCTTCCGCTCAGGCCATTGAGGTGCTCGGCATTTTTCAGGCCGCAAACCTCAAGCTCGCGCAGCTGTGCGAACATCCCAGACCCTCGCACATGGAACAGCATAGAAAACCCCAGAGGTATCGAGTTCAGACACAGTCATGCTTCACCCCTAAACCCTAAACACTCAACCCTAAACCCTATTCAAACAAGCTTCTCCAGGCCATGTCAACCCTCCTGTTTAGCCTTTCAAGGTGCAGTTGCAGTAAGTAGCGGTCGTCTCACAAGGACCAGCTCTCATGGCGCCGAAAACGATTCGACACACCAAGGACTCGCATCCTATTCAGTAAAAGTTCGGCGAGTTCTCTAGTCTAAGCTTCAGGCTGCGATGGGGGCATCCATTCTCAGCGCGTTCCTCGGCAGGAAGGACTGCTCAAGGGGTCAGCAAAGCGAGCACCCACTCTTACCTAAGTTGAGATCACCTTAGTTCGAATGTTGCAAGCGAGTCCTGGGCCGCAACAGCTGAGCGTGCCGGGTTTCGTCCACAACTTGCACTAAACCCACTAAATACTAAGACCCTAAACCCTACAGGCCCTAAAGGCCCTAACCCCCAAACTAAGGACTGCTCTTGCCCGTTCCAGCTGTTGAGCTGGCAGACAGCGTTCGAGGGTCAAGCCTCCCACCGGCTGCCAAGGCCCCAGTCGTGCACAAACAGAACTGGGAAGGCTGCACTGCAGATTTGCTTATACCTTGGGATGTTCCCCCTTATACTATAATAGGGATTATAGTACCCGCTACTACAATCCCTATTGAGGAGATGTTGGTATAAGGGGGAACATCCCAACACCGCTCCTGGAGCTTCTATGGACATGAAGAGAGGATGCTCCCATCCGCCTGTCCAGCTGCTGTACGACTGCTCCAGTACTGAAGTTGGCAGCAGCCTCGACAAAGCTCCGCGGAAAAAGCCCGCTGTGTATCCATTTTTCGTGAGGGTTCCGTTACGCAGCAGATGAGGCCATATCTTGCCATATCGTGCCGCAGTTACAAGGGGCATGGACAAGTGAAATACAAGTACCACGAGTAAGCAGTAACTGCTCATGCCTGATTTGGCTGATATGCACCGTTCGTGAAGTGCTGGATGAGGTCTAGGCCTTAGACTGCAAACCGCAAACCATGCAGCCATTGAGATGTTCAGGATGCAGCATTACGTCTGCGTGGTTGTCGAGTGCCTGGCTCGTTCGCTGTCCCATAGATTCCATGGCAGAGTATTTGGAAGGCAGTCCTGAGCATGTCTTGGAGGAGCCTGCTGGTGCGGCAGCGGGATCCCAAAGCTTCAAAGCCTGCTGATGCTGGAGCCGTCCACCCACTATTTCAGTTGATCGGGAGTAAGATCCACGCTCTTTCTGAGTAAGAAGTAGAGCGCACAATCCTCGCTGAGATGTGCCATGAGCTTAAAGGACTGGCAGCACTGTATCTTGCACAGGTCCCTCCGTGCGTCTCTTCTCCGAGACGAAACGACAAGGGCCCCACTGCTCTAGCACCATGGCTACACGACGGAGCCAAAGAGGTATCCCAGTCGTGCCCTAGATGCGAGTATCCCGCACCATCTACAGAATTCTACCCTGAGTAGTGCTTTAAAGCCCTGAAAAAATTATTTGTATACAGGTTTCCCTAGGCTGTAAGTTATCCCAAAGCATTACCCAGTACCAGCTTGAGAGACCTTCACTGCATCCTGTAAGCTCCTGACGCTGAAGCTGTTGCAGTTCTTCCGAATCAAGTCGTAGGTGCCTGCCCTGAGCTTGTTCAGGTCACTAAGAACCAACTGGGGGGGGGGTAGTCACGGGTAGTCCCTAAACCCTAAACCCTAAAATCCATCAGCCAGAGCAGGACTTCCAACCCAAGCCGAGTCACCGGAAGTGCTCTTGCAAAGCACGCAGTAGCTGCTGGCCAGTCCAGCACGAGAGGCCCATCGTCAACTGACAGAGCGCCAACTATCCTACTCGTTTGTAGACCACGGTTTTCATCCAGCACCTAAATTTTGTGTTATGGAACTGATATCAAGCAGCAACGAAGTTAAGAAGGTTTTCCGCGTGCCCTGCTCTCAACATCAGCAGAGACTGCTGCCACTGAAGCAGCAGCCACTCCGTCAGAAGCTGAATCAAGCCGTTTCCAGTGCTGGGTTGGCAGGGCTAGCTGGCATGTTTACTTAATTTCAGTTCTTAAGTTCTTAAGTTCTTAAGTATGTCAGAGCAAACCTCTGCGTGTGCCCTGTAGCGGTGATGCCTTCTCGGACGGCTGACCTTGATGGCCTGCCGGTTCCATTGCCAATGGCAAGGCTGTAATTAAGCTGCTGCACAGTGAGACAGACACGTTCAATAAACTTGACCCACCACTTGAATAACGTTGCTGCTCAGGGACTGGTCAAGGTCATGTTGGAAAAAATCCCACCTGACAGCAATCATAGCAACGTCACTGGCAGCATGAGCATGATGAATTTGATTTGCATTTTAGGTTTGTCAGCGAAAATGGAGTCGGCGATGCAAACTAACGCAGTATCCATCCAACAGTTCATGCGGCACCGGGGCGGGTGCTGTCCGAGAAGAAGAATTCTTCTCCATTGACCACCACCTTGTACTATCTTGCCGTGAGGATTCACATGCGCACGGCACGAGTCTGCGAGTCAGCACGAACCCTGACTATTGGGTTCGTGCGTTAATCCGAAGCTTGTGAAGGACCACCTCCTTCAACAAAAGAAACAAGAGCGGCGCACCGACGTGTGGTATGCCGAGGCCAACCCAGGAATGGTGAACAGCCTCAATCATCAGGCAAACATGGGCACAAAAAGCTTGGGTACTGGACAACATGCCCCGTCGGGGCCACCAACTTAAGCAGCCAAAGTCATCGCTTAGGCTTGGGTTTGAAGCTCGAAGGAAAAGGTTCAAGGTTGAGTCTTATGGGGCTTCCTAAAATACAGTAAAACCACTGTATAAGAAACCACTGTTTAAGAAACTGAGCCCCTAGACCCGGGAATATTGGTCGATTTGCGGTTGCCTTCTAGCTAAGAAACTTAGGGTACCCTAGTGTTTTGAGGTCAGTTTCTAAAAAAACCTGCCGCAACACCCCCCAGATCTACCCGAAAAACGCGCGCGAGTCACATTCTAGAGGTTTTCAGCCCTGAAAAGCTCTAAAACGTGACTCCCCCGCGCCTGCGGCCTGACCCTACCCGAAAAACGCGCGGGAGTCACATTCTATAGAGGTTTTCAGCCCTGAAAAGCTCCAAAACGTGACTCCCCCGCGCCTGCGGCCTGACCCTGCCCGAAAAACGCGCGGGAGTCACATTCTAGAGGTTTTCAAGCAATCCGCTTTCAGGTGAAGTGTCTGGCCCTGAAAAGCTCTAAAACGTGACTCCCCCGCGCCTGTGGCCTGACCCTACCCGAAAAACGCGCGCCAGTCACATTCTAGAGGTTTTCAGCCCTGGAAAGCTCTAAAACGTGACTCCCCCGCGCCTGCGGCCTGACCCTACCCGAAAAACGCGCGGGAGTCACATTCTATAGAGGTTTTCAGCCCTGAAAAGCTCCAAAACGTGACTCCCCCGCGCCTGCGGCCTGACCCTGCCCGAAAAACGCGCGGGAGTCACATTCCAGAGGTTTTCAAGCAATCCGCTTTCAGGTGAAGTGTCTGGCCCTGAAAAGCTCTAAAACGTGACTCCCCCGCGCCTGTGGCCTGACCCTACCCGAAAAACGCGCGGGAGTCACATTCTAGAGGCTTTCAGCCCTGGAAAGCTCTAAAACGTGACTCCCTCGCGCCTGCGGCCTGACCCTACCCGAAAAACGCGCGGGAGTCACATTCTAGAGGTTTTCAGCCCTGAAAAGCTCTAAAACGTGACTCCCCCGCGCCTGCGGCCTGACCCTACCCGAAAAACGCGCGGGAGTCACATTCGGGAACCCTTCCCACCGCCATTCCTGGAACATGGGTTTGGTCTAGTGGTATAGCGTACTCCCTTAAGAAATTAGTTTAGAAACCAAGCCTACCCTAGGCTCAAACCCCCCCGGGTACATGGGCAATGGAAACTAAGAAACTTAGGGTACCCTATCGCCGGAAAACCGTTTTCAATATACAGCGTTTTTACTGTAGTGGTACCAATTTTGGGCCCATGGGATTCCACCACCATATTGGGAAATGCCCTTCTGAGTCTTGGCACAATGAAGTCGCCAACTCCACCTGGTTGGTCGCTTCGCCTGCCGACTCTTTCACAAGACTTAAGAACCACCTGTTGGTGAAACACATTCTGAGACCATAATGCTGTCCCACAAAATTGCGGTGTCATGGGCTGTCGAGCCTTCCGGATCTCCATCTGGCCGTACATCGGAGAGGTGTGACGGCCAGCAGCCGGAGGTTATCTGTGTGTTTGGAACGAAGAGCGTGCAGAAATAGCCGGCAAGAATGAGAGCATCACAGCCGTTACTGTTAAGAACTGGGGGCCGCTGGTCGGGCACGCTACGTACGACGTCGTGGCTTGCCGGCTTGAAAAGCTTTGCTTGCTGTCAGCTCCACCACTTTATCGTGAAAACCTCTCCCTTGTCCGATTTCATGGGCAACCTTACTTTGCTGCAAGTGCCACTTGTCAACTGAGTCTCACACATTGCCCATGGCAGGCACACGAAACTGGACACAAAACTCACCGTGCACAAAGGCTTCATGCTGATCGCTTGGTTGCACTGAACTAGTACATGCTCATCAGGCTCATCATGAAGTAAGAGCTGCATGATGTTATGACATGTTGCGTAAGTCCAAGTGAGCTGCCCTCCTCTTCCGAAAAAACTTGCCAAGAAATCTCGCAGCATATTGGGTCAAAGCAGCTTGCAAAGATGAAGATGGAATGGCAGCAATAACCCTAAACCCTAAACCCTAAACCCTATGTGCCAAGGTGGCAGGACGTTCCTTTTCTCACGCTGGGGGAACAGGATGCAGCTTTCCGCATTTATAGTGCAATGCATGCCGCGCGTTGGCCCGTACGTTGTTGAAACTCTCCTCTCTACAAGGCGCATGATGGGCTTAGGGTTTAGGGTTCTACGGAAATATTTCCTCAAATAGGGGTGCCCTGAATTTGCCCCCCAAAATAATATAATCCCTACTATTATAGGCACCCCCAAAAAGGGCACCCCCTATTTGCGGAAACCCCCTAGTACAACATCGGCAATGTGGAGTCCAGGCCAATGCGACGTTCGTCTCTTAGAAGCTTCCTTAAGCAAGCTCCGCTTGGATACATCCCAAATCTTCTTGAGACTATTGCCAGCTGCCCTCAGACTGTGCTGCAAGCCTGATTTGCAAAGGTTCACTGTAACATGGTCGGGTGCTGCGTTCTGGAGGACATGTCGGCTCTTCAACGGACTTGTCCCGCAAGGATCAGCTCACGTGAGAAGAGGCCTCACCATGCAAGGGCCCAGGTCACGTTTCGGGCACTTCATTAGATGCTTAGTCAGGTGCCTGGGCCTGAGCCCTTTCCGCAAAACATTTCGTCTCGCAGCTGTTATACGGCTTCGCCGTTGCTGCCAGCATTATCACTTCTGATGGCGCATTTTGCTCACCAGTTCATCTCAGCAGATGGAGCCAACAGCACACCAACTTCGAAATCGTCCTGTTCGTCAAACCGACCATGTGCTCTTTCCTGGCAGTTCCCTCGTGTGCAGAACTTGACTTGCAGATGAAGGCCCCATTTGCACAAAATGCAAGTCTCAGCGTGCCTCGCATTGTGACTCCAGCACCCTTTCCTATGCAACCTGACTTCTGGAGATGCAGCAGGACAACCCATGATCCCTAAACCCTAAACCCTAAACCCTAAACCCTAAGCTTAAACACACACTGCCCCGTGGCTCAGTGGGGGTGCTAAGGCGACTTCACAGTTGCGCTCGCGAGTAGAGGCCATCCTGCTTTGGCGACTGCCTGAGCTGTAGCCCCCCAAACGCCACAGCAACATTGCACAAAGCTCTCTCGCCTTGCTTGTGGGAGGTGGCATGTGTTCACTGTTGAAGAGTTGCACCCTAAACCCCAAACCCTAAACCCTAAACCCTAAGGTCTGCGTGCTCCTCCTTTTTTGCTTTCATCTTCTCATTCTTTCCTCCTTCGGCGCCAATATTTTTCTGTCTTTGTTGTTTGAAAGTAACCCCCCTGAAACGCAAAAGCAAAGCAATGTGTACGTCGACCATCCTGCCGCTTTCGGACAGGTAGCGAGGATTGCCCTTGAAACCCTCTGAAACATCTTCCTCAACATGATCCCCTTGAACCTAATAAGGGAAACATGAAGCATACCCCAAGGGCCTACCTAGTTAAGGATACTTCGCCGCAGGATTCTGTCGCGGTTGCTTTCCAGGAGAAAGCATGCCAAAGGCATCTAGGGACACTCTGCAGGGTTGTACACTGCAAGGGCTGCAGGGATTGTTTAGGATCTTTGTCTTTTGTTTTGCCGCCCTCTCAGCACTCTCGCACACCGCGGGGTTCAGAGGGTCTGCTTTGGGTTTCCCGAATCGCGGGGTAGGACCCTAAGGTAAAGCCACCCTTACCATCAAAAGAATGACGCTGGCTAGAACCCACACCGTCCCAGTGAAGGGTCGAAGAGTTGACTGACGCTCTCCTGCGCCACTCTGGGGCCACTGTGTCCTCTCCTCCCTTTCCCGAAGTCGCCAACCCAACTGTTGGACCATAACGTGGAATCTGGGAGGACTAGGTGTAAGTGGCCCCACCTTTGCTACCTCTAGGGTTGTCGGTGTGAGACTGTAAAAGCTCCTCGGCCATGTGAAACAATGCTTCCCTACTCCCTATCTTGTCGCGCTGGTCGGTTTTCGGTGTAAGTGTGGAAGTAGGTCTGTTAGGTATGCGGTCGGTCATTGGTGTCCCAGTGCGTTGCAAGGCCCCCATTACGATTTCGTGTCACTTTCATCGAAACACAAATTATGAATTCGAGGCGTAAGCTTTGAATTACGGATTTGGAACGATTTGGACTTACCCACGTGCCCACTTTCACTGGCTCAGTAATTTTATCAGGATACTCGGCGAAGTTCTCTGCGAGATTCTCTGGGGGTGGGCGCTACAGGATACTCGGCCGGACACTTTGCGGGATTCTCTGAAGGTGGGCACTCCAGCGATGCTTGGTGGGATGGGAGACCCCAGCAGACCTGGTGAGGAGCATGGGGCGAGGAGACCAGCTGACTTACCAACATAAAACCTAAACCAGCCCGAGGGAGAAAAACAAGAAAGCACAAGCAGAAAAAAACAAATTCATACGCCCCCCTACCGGGTTGACTATATGCGTGCACCGTGTGCCCCCCCCCCCCCCCCCCCCACAATTGGACGCCCTGCATTCCAATCTCCATCCCGTCTTGAAATTGCATTTATGCAGACCGGGCGTCCCTGATCATGGTTGCTTCAGCAATACTTTTGTCGCATACCGCATTGCGCCGCCAACCGAACCGTTAAGTAGCGCCTTTTTCAGTATATCCTCCCAGCCCATGAGTAGTTCGTTGGCAGTGGACCCATGAATGGAACCACTGCCCCTTGCATCAGAGAAAAATGATCCATGGAAGCACACACACAGACAAACACCAACTCTGAAACACAACACACTGCGCAATGGAGCCAGCCGTGCATGCATATATCTTCACGCGCCACACATTCATGTGCTTATGTGCTTGCCTACTTACCTGCTTGCACACAAGAGCTCCTGCCCTCGTTTGCTTGCTGAGGCTTTGCAGGTTAGGGTCAGACCTGACCGGGATTTGTTCGGCTCTGCATTTCCCTCGAACTTTTCTTGTCACCAGCCCCCTTGCTGTGTCCAAGGTGCTTTCCGCTGCCAGATGTGCGATGAGAAACACGTGGTGATTTATCGTCCTGCGTTTGCACCAAGAACCCCAGGTAATTACCACCTGACAAGAGGTAGCTGTGGAGAAGAACGCTGAATCTGTGCGCGGGGTCCTCACCGTCTGTGCCAAGGCCTCGTGATGGTGCTAACTTCTGTAGTCGTTGAAGGGATGCAAGGAGCAAACCAGTACAGAACTGCGCACACGCCTAGTTTCTGCATAAGTGCCTTCCACAGCCACTGCCTACTGATGCAGAGCCGCTACCCGTTGTTGCAGCTGCAGTTGCTTGGCTGGCTCTGAGATTCCGGCGGTTTCTCACGCTCAGCCGTCTTGCTGTTGGCATTCGGGGCGCGATGTGTGCCTAGATCGACAAATGCTGACATTCCAGATTGGTGCCTGCTTCCATCAGCTTGGGCCTAGGATCCAGCTTTAACTCGCTGACAGAGCTGCCCGTAGCTGTTCAGCGGCTGTTCAGGCACGTCTTCAATCTCTCTACTTCCATCAGCCTACTGCCCATACCTTTTCTGCTTGGTCCTAACATGACCGTGTCTGAGACCACAACCTGGGCTCTTCTCGCCTTCTCCAATAAGGCAGGCTCCCGGTCCAGTTCCTCAGGTATACATCGACGAGTGTGCAGATCAGAAGATAGCAGAGGGTTCATGCGTTTGTTCTGCAGCATTGGAGCACCCCATCGAGTCTTCCAGTCGTTTTCAGCTTGTGCTGCACGTGCAAAGGGCATCCGCTGAGCAGCGTGGCTACTGCTCGATGGTAGACGTCCCTTTTGATGGACAGGATGCGCACCTCACCGCAAGATCTGACTGACTGCAGTCTGACAGCACGGTGCATAGCCCAGAGCCGGCTCCAGCCGTTGTGAACTTGCAGTCAAGAACTAAGGCAGCTAAGGCAGCTAAGGCAAGGAAAGCTTGCAGCCCTCGCTCCTTCCCCAACTTCCTTCAGAACATCAGGGAGAAAGCCCCTAAAGCCCCCATGTCCCTGTGTGAGAGGCCTTGCTCGTGCTGAGAAAGGCATCGAAGTCAGGAGCAAAACCGTCTGTAATCAGCGCGTCCCTGCCAGACTGGAAGGTGGGGCACAAGGAGCTTCTTGCGGTGTCCACTCCGAAGCTTCTTGTGAGCTAACCGTGATATCGTGACAGCTGGGCCACCATGATGCGGGCCTTGCTGAGCTGCTTCCTTTTCTTAAAGAGCTGTCCACTGCAAACTGACACCATGTTCTGCAAACAGGGAGGGGCGGCCTCGCGAGCAGCGAGAACCTGCATTGGGAACCCCTACGGCTGCACATCAGATTCTTGAATCCAACTGGCACACCAAGTCTCCAAACAAAAGCACCAGTCTTGTGTGGCTGTACGGGGTATATGGAGGGACCTCTAGAAGGGACCCTTAATCTTATTCCCCTATATAACCCCTATCTATACATGTATACCTTATATAGCCCCTGATGCGGAAGATGCTTGTGCTTTCGGCTGTGGCACGCTCCATTCTCGGTCTTGAAGGACTCGCGACCGACGAACGCTCCAAGCCGTCCTGGAACGAAGCATGGCGAACCCTATGCCGACAGGGTCCCTAAAGCGGGGGTTGGGGGCAGTATGGGCTTGAAGGAGCCGAAAGGCATGCGGCCCCTGCCGACAGGGTCCCAAAACCCTGCTTGCATCCGGGCTCTCGCTTCGTTCTCTTTTAGCTCAAAAGCCTAAACCCCTTTTGCAGCAGGCTTCGCACTTCGTCTGGGTCGGACAGCACCCACAGATATTGTCTCCTTAAACCCCTTTTTTGGACCCGGTCTGAGAGCCATGTCGGTACCTGCCAGCGAGGCAGCCTCACTAAACCCTAAACAGCTTGCCAACTCCCAGATCTCCCAGCTGCTCCTTGAAGTATCAGCGTGCACCGATCTGTCTGGTGCCCTCGCGTGTAAAGCCTGCAGTTGACAGCAGGAAGCCCAAATGGGCTCAATGCCCTTAACGATCTTAACTCTTCATGTCCAGCCATCAGCTCAAGGCCCCTGAAACGGGCCAACGGTAAGAAAAACCGTCTCCCTAATGTCAGGAAAAAGTCTTACAGTAAGAGCTTGGGTCAAGCTGAGGTCCCGGGCATGTCGTTCTCAGTGGGGCCCTGCCCTGGCGATGCATTGCGCCTCAAATTCATCACCTGCTGCAATGGGCTCTTCTTTCTTGGTCAAGTCTTTCCGAAGCACGCCGGTTCAGTACTACGGAACTAGTCTTGAATCATTCTTCATGTTCTTCATCCCTGTTCCCCTAGGAAGAAAAAAGGATCCTTTTTGTTCATATATAAGAAAGCCCATAACCCAAAAAGTAAAAAGGATCCCTAACACTGATCGAGTGCTGGTTGGGCAGCACGAAAGAAAGAAGCGCTTCCCGAGGCGCGCCTCGGCCTCGCCCACAAGCCATGTGACGGTCTCGTACTTGAGGGGGCAGACGCTGCCTTTTCAACGTGGGAGTTGACTATATACTCCCCTTAGAACCTTAATTAAAAAAACAACAACATTTTCTTGGGATTTATATAAACAAAGAATGATTCCCAAGGGGGATATCGTTGAAGAGTTGACACCCCTTTGGAGAAGTGTCTGCTCACAAGCCCGGATGGCCTTCTGCAAATGCTGCTCTCGTTAGGTGTGCGGAGATTGCGTTCACCTGCGGGCCCGACAGCTGAACACAGACGGAGCGACGAAGCAAGCATGCAAACTTCCCTGGGATGGTGCACTTAGTTGTCCAGTAACCTGGGGTTTAGAGCCTGCCTCCTCCAAACTCAGCTTGTCAGCTTTGGACCGCCAAATCGGGTTGAACACGCCTGTTTGACGGCGGCATCTTGAAAACGCACAAAACCAGCGTGGTCGGTTTAGGGTCAAGGGTTTAGGGTTTGGGGTTTAGGGTTTAGGGTTTAGGGCAGCGCAATCGAATGCTGGCTGCAGGGCAGCACCTAGGCATCGGATCGTGGCAACTTTACGTTGCCCATCCCTCTAGTAAACCCTAAACCCTAAACCCTAAACCCTAAACCCTAAACCCTAAACCCTAAACCCTAAACCCTAAACCCTAAACCCTAGACCCGCTGCGCGCACCTAAGTCGAACTTCCGTTCGTTTCGACCTTGGATCTTGAGCTGCCTGTCAACGTCGACCTGGGGCACATCGGGCGGCACATGGCTGTACTCTACACTCATGCACGATCATAATAATAGTACTAATAATAATAACAATAAAAGAATACAAATTAAAATGATAATAATAAGAATGAGAAGTCTAGGCATCTGAGAGCTGCAGCGTACACGTCCGTCTCATCCACGATCTCTTCCTGAATGATCTCTTCTACGATGTCCTCCAAGGTCAAAACCTGAGATCAAAGCGACCATCCGACTTTTAGCAGGTTGAGCTTCTGACGGGATAATGGGAATCATAGGTCGCAAGGTGCACAGAATTGTGCAGCATGGTACAATGCGGCGCAATAAGAAGCAGCGTGTCAGCTGTGGAAAGAATCAGCAGGAACATGACAGTGAGAGGACCACGCATGCAGACTGTTTTATGCCATCGCCGCCACATCTTGGTCTTCTGGAATTGGAGTGTCTAGAGTCTGAAGCTGACTCTTCACCAGGCTCACTTCCTCGCAGGTATCGTTCTCCTCCTGTCTTGTGTGCTTTGCAGCATGCACATAGTCTAGCTTCACGCAGAGTTCAACCATGCCGAGTACGGTACGTGCGGATGCACAGGGCCAACATGTTGTGGTTTCAAAAGCCCCCCCCCCCCCCCTAAGCCCAAGCAGATCCAAGCAATTTTTGGGCTTTGGGCTTAGGGTTGTAGGATGACCCTAAGCCCTAATTCACAGGTCGGTCCAGCCATCGGAGAGCCTTTCTTGCCACCTCCTTGGTTCAGTGTATGTCGGCTCAGCTGGATGTGCCTAGGACGCAAGCAAAGGCACCACTTGGGATGTTCCCCCTTATACTAACAGTCCTTAATAGGGACTAGTCACCCCCCACCCCCTAGTAAGGACTTTTAGTAAAAGGGGGAACATCCCAAGGCACCACCATACCGACACGGAACATGATGTAGATTCAAACCTCAGCCATGAGTGCTGGCATTTGTTATGAGTGTCGGTCTCCCACTCATTCTCGCAACCTAGAAGTCTCCTAGTCACGAGCACTCAGCATCCGGGCATCGCTTCCATGAAGTATGCGAGCCCTCAAGAGCCCATCCCCCCCCCCCCCCCCCCATCCCATATTGCACCTCCAACACCCGTAACTTGAAGCCTCAACTTTCATGACTCAAAGGGGAGGCCATGCTTCTGCAAGCGGAGGTTGGTCTTTCAAGATCCGGGTGCACTTGTTGAATAACTTGTTCTTTGCCGTTGTGGAAGCCGTCTGCTGCCAACCTTTGCTGATCGAAACGGTAGCGAGATCGGACGTAGGGTGGATTTAGGTGGTTGGGGTATAAAAGCAAGCAGAAACTGCAGCTTGCAATGTCTAAGCAGCTGAGCTCAGCTTCCTCCACCATGTGCTCCACCTCTGAAGCGCTCCAGCGAGGGCGATCATTTGTTATGACCATGTGGCAAGACTGGCCAGAACCGGAAGCCCAAACATGCAGGATTCCGTTCGCATCAATTTCCAAAGTGACTTCCACCAAGCTTTCTGCCGCAGGCAGGCCCTCTAGCTTCAGCTCCCCCAACAACCTGTTCTCCCTCGCGAGGCACAACTCGCCCTCAAGCAGCTGAATTGAGACGCAGGTCGAGCATGCGGTGAAGCAACTGGTTGTCTTCGTTGGGATTGTGGTGTTCCTTTCAAGCAGCCTCGTCATCTTTACGTCTCTTGCCTCCTTGATGGTCAGAGTGCTGTAGTTTGCCAAGCTCAGGTGTGGCTGGACTTGAAGGTCATCCAGGAAACATATGGCGCTCTTCCATCCCAGGCGAGTGCTGAGATTCTCCTTGCGGGCTAACAAAACACACCCACTGCACGTCTCGAAGCATCAAAGGCTGCCAATGCTGCCAGCGTTCCACTAGCACGCCCACGGTGCTATCCGTAGACACTGGGATTTCCAGTACAATGCCTCCACTCAGATTGCCTGAATCCATGGGCGGTGAATGCTGATTTGCAAGGCTAGTGCCCCAGGATCATACATGACAATATCTAGGTCGATGCTGAATTTATGAGTATGGATGCTTGGTAATGTCTGGGTTTGGCAAAACAATTCTAGAATAAGTGTGAATATCAGAAAATGCAATCTGTGTTGGTTCTGCAACTTTTTCTGTGTTTTTGCGAAAAAATTTGCAACCTGCTTTTTCCATAGATTCCCGGGAGCGGCCGGAACGATATGTGTGGAAAATCTGTGCCCAGGGCCCCCCCAGCTTGGACCCTCCTAAGCTTCACCGTTCTATCGGAGGACACAGATTTTCCACAGATGTTTACAAATTTGGGGGCGGCCGGGCCTTGAAATCTGTGGAAAAACTGGTGGAAGATCTGCATCCGGGCCCCCAGTCCCCAATTTCACCGTTCTATCGGGGGGACAAGATTTTCCACCCTTTCAGGTGGCGGCCGGGCCTCGAAATCGGTGGAAAATCTGCGTCCGGACCCCCCCCCAGATTAAGATATATTAAGATAACAAAAAGGCCACACATGCTCAGCTCACCGGAAATCCAGGCTTAGAATTTCCACTCTTCTGGAACACACACTGGGGACAGATTTTCCAGAGAAAAGTTTCCTCAGACCCTTCTCAAACATTGCCAGGATTCATACACACAATGCTAAATGCATTCCTAGCGTGCCCCGACGAGTGTCCTACAGGTTCGTGGATTTTTGTTCCCGAAAGCTTCAGCGAAGGGTTCTTCGGAAAAAAAACGTTAGCCCTACCACACTACCACACACTCACACTACCATCACCACACTACAATCACCACACTACCATCACCACACTCCAATCACCACTACCATCACCACACTCCACACTACCATCACATCACCTCCTCTATTAAATTCTCTCTTATTTCTTAGGCTGGGGTGGGTTTCGCCGCGGCTAGCGCGATGCACCCCTCTGCGGGGATCGTGCGTGTCGGGGCGCTCCCGCTGTACGTTTTTGCGCATGTGGATTTGTCGCCGCGCACCCTCTGCGGGGATCGTGCGTGTCGGAGCGCTCCCGCTGTGCGTTTTTGCGCATTGTACAACTTGCTTCGCACACCCTCTGCGGGGATCGTGCGTGTCGGAGCGCTCCCGCTGTGCGTTTTTGCGCATTGTACAACTTGCTTCGCACACCCTCTGCGGGGATCGTGCGTGTCGGAGCGCTCCCGCTGTGCGTTTTTGCGCAACACCCTCTGCGGGGATCGTGCGTGTCGGAGCGCTCCCGCTGTGCGTTTTTGCGTATTTTCAAGCGTGGTCGTGCACCCTCTGCGGGGATCGTGCGTGTCGGAGCCTTCCTCACCTCTTCCTCTCCTCTTCCTCTGCTCTTCTTTTCCTCTTCCTCTCCTCTTCCTCTCCTCTTCTTTTCCTCTTCCTCTCCTCTTCCTCTCCTCTTCCTCTTCCTCTCCTCTTCCTCTCCTCCTCTTCCTCTGCTCTTCTTTTCCTCTTCTTTTCCTCTTCTTTTCCTCTTCCTCTCCTCTTCTTCTCCTCTTCCTCTCCTCTTCCTCTGCTCTTCCTCTGCTCTTCCTCTCCTCTTCTTTTCCTCTTCCTTTCTTCTTCCTCTCCTCTTCCTCTCCTCTTCCTCTCCTCTTCCTCTCCTCTTCTTTTCCTCTTCCTCTCCTCTCTTCCTCTCCTCTTCTTTTCCTCTCTTCCTCTCCTCTTCTTTTCCTCTTCCTTTCTTCTTCCTCTCCTTTTCCTCTCCTCTTCCTCTCCTCTTCTTTTCCTCTTCCTCTCCTCTTCCTCTTCCTCTCCTCTTCCTCTCCTCTTCCTCTCCTCTTCTTTTCCTCTTCCTCTCCTCTTCCTCTCCTCTCTTCCTCTCCTCTTCTTTTCCTCTTCCTTTCTTCTTCCTCTCCTCTTCCTCTCCTCTTCTTTTCCTCTTCCTCTCCTCTTCCTCTCCTCTTCCTCTTCCTCTCCTCTTCCTCTGCTCTTCCTCTGCTCTTCCTCTCCTCTTCCTCTCCTCTTCCTCTCCTCTTCCTCTCCTCTTCCTCTCCTCTTCCTCTCCTCTTCCTCTGCTCTTCCTCTGCTCTTCCTCTCCTCTTCTTTTCCTCTTCTTTTCCTCTTCCTCTCCTCTTCCTCTCCTCTTCTTTTCCTTTTCCTCTCCTCTTCCTCTCCTCTTCCTCTTCCTCTCCTCTTCCTCTGCTCTTCCTCTGCTCTTCCTCTCCTCTTCCTCTCCTCTTCCTCTCCTCTTCCTCTCCTCTTCCTCTCCTCTTCCTCTCCTCTTCCTCTTCCTCTGCTCTTCTTTTCTTCTTCCTCTCCTGGAAAGTCGACTTTTGTAGTACAAACGTAGTACGCCGCGGACGCCCGGAGCTGCCGTGGCTGGAAAGTCGACTTTTTGTAGTACAAACGTAGTACGCCGCGGACGCCCGGAGCTGCCGTGGCTGGAAAGTCGACTTTTGTAGTACAAACGTAGTACGCCGCGGACGCCCGGAGCTGCCGTGGCTGGAAAGTCGACTTTTTGTAGTACAAACGTAGTACGCCGCGGACGCCCGGAGCTGCCGTGGCTGGAAAGTCGACTTTTGCAGTACAAACGTAGTACGCCGCGGACGCCCGGAGCTGCCGTGGCTGGAGAGTCGACTTTTTGTAGAACAAACGTAGTACGCCGCGGACGCCCGGAGCTGCCGTGGCTGGAAAGTCGACTTTTGTAGTACAAACGCCGTGGGACTCGAACTCCGCGGTGTCGAAACCCTCGCAAATATCGGGCGCGGAACTCTGGGGCTTCGAAAGGGTCGCAAATACCGTGGGCGCGGAACTCTGGGGCGTCGAAAACATCGCAAATACCGCGGGCGCGGAACTCTGGGGCTTTGAAAGCGTCGCAAATACCGTGGGCGCGGAACTCTGGGGCTTCGAAAACGTCGCAAATACCGTGGGCGCGGAACTCTGGGGCTTCGAAAACGTCGCAAATACCGTGGGCGCGGAACTCCGGGGCTTCGAAAACCTCGCAAACACCGTGGGCGCGGGCGCGAAACTCTGGGGCTTCGAAAACGTCGCAAATACCGTGGGCGCGGAACTCTGGGGCTTCGAAAACGTCGCAAATACCGTGGGCGCGGAACTCTGGGGCTTCGAAAACGTCGCAAATACCGTGGGCGCGGAACTCTGGGGCTTCGAAAACCTCACAAACACCGTGGGCGCGGAACTCTGGAGCTTCGAAAACCTCGCAAATACCGTGGGCGCGGAACTCTGGGGCTTCGACAACGTCGCAAATACCGTGGGCGCGGAACTCATGGGGCTTCGAAAACGTCGCAAATACCGTGGGCGCGGAACTCTGGGGCTTCGAAAACCTCGCAAACACCGTGGGCGCGGAACTCCGGGGCTTCGAAAACCTCGCAAACACCGTGGGTGCGGAACTCTGGAGCTTCGAAAACGGTGCAGCAAATAGCGCGACGGCTCTCGTGTGGGCGCGGATGACATCTTGTCCTGCGCTCATGCAGAGCTATGCTTTGATCTGTTCACAACATGGCAGCAGGCGCCTCAGGCCATGTGGGACTTTTGCATGCTGGCATGTGTACGTGGTATCACCCCATTGCCGTCATCGCGCGACCATCGCCTCAGCTATACACGGCCTCTCTACTCTGCCTATTCTATTCCATCTTCTTTGCGTTTCGCGTCCTTTTCGCTGTCGACGCGACATCCTACTATACACCACACCACGATCACCGCACTGACAACACAACCAACTCTACGTGTCAGTTGATATCTTCGCACTGATTGCTTTCGGGATAATCGGTGTCTAGTTCTTACCGGGTGCATCCTGAAGATAATGGACAACCGTGGTAAGGCTTCAGTTCAGGTCTTCGTTGACCGTTCTGGCAAGTCACAGGCTTCGACGAGCAACCGTGCCTCTTGCGCAGAGATAGTGGCCTGAAGGGGCACTTCCTGTGGTCTTGACTGTGGCGCAAAGTAACCCTGTTTGTGTCAGGTTATTTGCCGTTCGCACTGCACATGCTGGTTAGGGAAAGAGAAGCACGGGACGTGAACAACAATGCACTTTGCACATGAACACGTTGTAGGCTGTGAGATGTTTCTATGCCAGTACAAGGTAGCAGATGTGAAGCTCATCTGTGAGCTAAACTTATGACAAAGCCGCATATTGTTGCTTACTGTTGATGGCCTATGCCTCCTGACTCCACCACCTCTCCTACAGTAAACCTACGACCTGGCTGAGATTCACGCAAACAGAACCGGGCCTGCAACACTCGAGCTGGAGCGGTCGCGCCAGGCTCGAAGAGTCGGAAGCCTTCCGAACTCGCCTCGTTGACTCGAGGATGATTGCTTTTGTACTTTTCCGGTGCTTGATGTTGGAGGCCGCCTTTAACTGCGCTTTGCAGATTTCTTTATTTTTCAGTCCACTGGTGCTTGCGTTCCTCCCAGTGGACAGTATTTCTTGAGTTTTAGGCTAGTTTGACATCAAGGAGGGGGGGGTGAAGTTCAGACACTTCTTCGCAGCTTCAACGTTATGACTTGGTCAGCGACTAAGGGGAACGTATGTGTGTGTGACCTTTACAGTTGTGCCGCTAGACTGTGTTATTTCGCGAGTTCTGTCCTAAGTTTTGCAACATCATGGCATGGGGTGACATACGCACTTGCTTGTGTGCTGTTGCTTGGAGGTGCATCCCTCCATTCCGAGTAAGCCGCTGGCAGGGGCAAAGTGCTTGTGCTTAGAGGTTTATGCCTCTAAGGCGGTTTAGAGTTAAGGTCTTAAGGATCTTTTGCCTCCCGCCTAGCTGAGTCCACTTCGCAGGGTGCATGTCACTAGTATGGTACGGGGCCTTTTGGCCATCTCTGTATCTGTTCAAACCCAACACCCACTACATAGCTCGTCAGAAAAGCCCCTAAACCCTAAACCCTAAACCCTACCAGGCCATAGTCAACAGAGCTGTAGAGCAACGCTACACAGTCATCGGCTCAACACGTCAAGCAGTCGTCCCATTATCCTGTCACCTCATCAAGCCCAACAAACAAACATAAATCCTAACAATGAGCAAAGAGGGTTTAGGGTTTGGGGTTTAAGGTTTAGGCGCGTGCAAACACCATGCTCGTTTTGCCAATGCAAGGACTCGTTTTGTGGCATGATCTTTTCCTATGAAGGCAAGATTGCAAGGCTTCAGAAGAAGCGAGGAAGAGGTGTTGGGCGGGGGGTAGATCCCCCACCCCCCGCCACATGATGGGTTTGGAAAGGCTTCGTATGTTTTCTTGTTCGTATTCATGGCGTGATCTTCTTTACAAAGCAAGCCGCAAGGTTTCAAGTGAGGACCAGAGGACCGGGGGACCACGGACAAACGAGCCAAGGACCACAAGACCAGCCCAGCGGACGACGACGACGACTGGAAGTTTTTCGACTGTAATTATTTAATTTTCCCTAATGTTTTTTAGACTGATTCTTCCCATTCTTGATCCCTACGCCGCTACTGGAGGTCAGAGCATGAGGACCTGGCTATGCAATTCATGTGGTGACTCAGTGGTGACCTACCTGCCCATTCGCAGCTTAGTTCTAGCATACAGCTTGGTTTATAGAAGGTTGCTGGCAAACGTATCGAGCAACCCTGAGCGGCATGACAACTTCGCTTTCAGGCCAGGCGCAATGCCCAAAGACAGAGGCGTGACATCGAAGAGGCACCTGACAAAGCTCCAAGCTTGGCATATCAGTACGAGCAGCTTCCATTCCAGCACATTTCAGCATCTTATTAAACCCTAAACCCTAAAACCGAGCATCTTGAAATATTGAGAGCACGCACCATCTTCCCAAATGCGGCACATTAGAACTCCTCCTGGAGCTGCTTCCGTCAGCGTCGAGCGGATTGTGGTACGTACCTTCCGCCTGGGACGGGCTCGAAACCGTGGGTTTAGGGTTTTTTGTTGCTGCCCGTCTAGCCATGCTCCACGGGGCAACTGAGGAAATGCTGTGTACAAACTTCAGAGCCCAAGTTTACGAGACACCGAGATATTCGAACCACCCCCGAACCTCCTGCGTCACGACTCCAACCCAGCAGCAACCAACATAATCCCATAAACGAAATTTAGGGTTTAGGGTTGCAGCCACATGTCATTGTCGGCTCTGCATGAGAAGGACAGTGCCAATGCTGGAAAATGTTTGAGGTGTACTCTGCTCAGCCTGGGTCTCCTCCTACACCTCCACGAACAAATTTGCGCACAGCTACGGACACACGCACTTCTAGCATCCTGCACATACCACCAATTTCGTTTCTCCACCCTAAACCCTAAAACCCAGTACGGGCACGCTACTTTCAAAGCGCCTCGTGGCTTTCTCCTCTTCATTGAGTCCACGATTGAGGGCAACTTTGGCGGCAAGTCGAATTCCATCAAAACCTCAAGCAAGGTATAGGGTATAGGATAATTATAGGATATAGGGTATAGGGTTTGGGGTTTAGGGTTTAGGCCGATCTTTGCGAGTCCATGAACTACAAGGGGGGGGGGACCCTCAGGGCCCCTAAACATCCGTGACCTACGACCATCGTAGCCAGCAGGTGAGAAGCTCCACAATCATGCAACCCTAAACCTTGAACCCTAAACCCTAAACCCTAAGTCTCTGCCGGGCATCTACTGCTTGGCGCTTCCACATGGATCTTGAGGTCGGCCAGCTTTGAGACGAAGGCTTCAGTCCTCGAACAGCGTGCCATGGGCAATGAAACTGCGCTGTGGAAGTTGGCAACTGTAGCTTGTACTGAGATGAGCCACAAGATCCATGCCTGCATCTGCATCGCTAGCATCACAGATCTGATGTGTCTGCTGGCCCTTTACTTTTGTGCCCAGGCAGGGGGGACGTGACTATGCTGGCATATCAAAACGTGCCGAGCACTCCCCATGCTTCCTCGGCAACCTACGGAGGTTCATGGGTAGTTATAAGTAGGGTTATAAGTGCCCTAAGTGAGAAACATGTATTACTATACCTATAACACTTTTTACATCCAGGCCTCTGAAGTCTGCCGGGTAAGTATGCTGACACTTATAACACTACTTATCAGTACCCATGAACCTCCAAGTAACCTTGCGGCAAAGTCTCTCGCCGACTCGCCGCGCTTCCTGCAGCTCCTCCCCCAAGTGGCCCAACGCGGACCGAATCGTATCCTAAGCGTGGCGCAACATCTTTTGTCACGTTCTGTGGCAGCCGTTTTGGCAGTTGTGTTGTTTTTGCTGCCTGTTTGGGTTCCCCGTAACTTGAGCCTGAAACTGTCAGCACTATGGATATGCGACGACAAATTCAGGCTTCAATGATGTCAACAGTTACAAGGATAACGACCGCCACTCACACCCAACCAGTACGACTGCTGGCGCACGCACCCCTGCGCTTTGAAATCATCCGACGGTGATGTCTCCAACAAACAGAAAGCATACTTAAAACTACCCGCCCCAGCTTTGTTGAATAAGACTCGACTAAATGACCATGGCAACAGCGACTCTTGTTTTCAAGCTTTACACAAGGGCATGCGTAGAGGAAGGAGCAGCAACGAGTACTGAAACACTCGAAAAGGCTGAAGCGCAGCTGAGCTTCAGCACCAGCCACAAGCCAAAGGGTGGTGTGGCCATTGCAAGCTCCTGGCTTTGGAGGTTCAGGGTACTTCTGAGCCCAAGACTATCTGTACTTGTAACCCAATTATAACCATGTTAGGGCACTTAAGGGGCTTGTATGAGCATTCGCGCACCCCCCCCTGGCCACGGTAATCCCCCCCGCCGCCCCCCAGGTGGTTCTTGGTCTGTGGTTCATAGGTTTAGGGTTAGGCTGTAGAGTTCAGTATTTTCACTCTGACCCCCTTTGGTCCATTGGTTCAGGGTTTAGAGTTTAGGGTTCAAGGTTTGGGGTACTGGTAGGTTGATGGTTTCCCCTCTCCCCCCCCTGTGGGTCGTGCTGGGTTTACGGTTCAGGGTTAAAGCGGATAAGGTTTCGGGTTTACCCTTGTCCCCCCCTGTGGTTCATTGGTGGGTTTAGGTTTTAGGGCTTAGGGTTCAGGGTTTGGGGTTTGGGCTTGAGGGTTTCTCTCTTCCCCCCCTGTGGTCCGTGGTGTTTTTAGGGTTAACGGGCAGGGTTTGGGGGGCGGGGGGGGGGGGGGGATACCATGGCGGGGGGGTCGATTATGCGGAACACGGGCGCATATAAGTGGGGTTTTTTGTACAGTTATGATTGGTTAATAAGTACCATGAACCTCCAAGGGGACCATGTCATCCCTTCTTGCGGACAAAGGATGTGTTCGTTCTGAGATCGGAATGAGGCAGGAGAATCTAAGAGTTGAGCCAGTACCTCCTTCAGAATGGCTGCCCTACACGCCCTGAGACAACTTCAAGCCCAGATTCGTGGCAGGTGAGTGATCACAGTTTTGAAGACGGCGGGGCCGGACTGCAGGCCGACTGCCGCCACGTCGTGCAAGGTCTCACGGTTCCTATACTCCCCTTAGAACCTTAATGGAAACAATATTTCTAATGCCCTCTTGGGTTTCATATAAACAAACATAAAAAGAATTCCCAAGGGGGACATAGGTTCAGCTTCAGAAGACGCATGCCCAGATGATCTGCATCAGAAGGGCTGCTTGGAAATTCAGGCTGGTACATGCGCAGTGAACGCAGGTTTGGGAACAGGGGGATGAAAGCCTTGTGCGGATCCACCTCCTCCAGGCTTAGTTCCAGTGTTTCCAGCGAGCTTGCAGGAGACTCGAAGAACGCTCGGTTCTTCAGCAGGGCCTCGAGTATTCGCGGCATCTTGCCATGCAAATCCAGCGACACCAGTGCAATCTGGGTTGGATCATCTTTTCTGGTTTCCAGGAAGCACACTAGAATGTCCATAATTTGTGTAGGCATGTTGGCATTCCAGTCCGTGATGACGAGAGCGACGTCTTCGAACCGAGCTTTTGGTGGACCGCTCACACCAAGATCTTCAGCAAAATGCTGGATGTGGGACTGCAGGAGATCTTTATTCGAGATCTGATGAAGCAGTTTTGCATCCACTGGAATGGTGCGCCTTTGCCTCTTCCGAGAAGTTGCTTCCAGCCTCTGGTCGAGAAGTCATGCATCCTCGTGCTGTAAATCTCTCACTGTAAACTAGACAAGGCAATATGGAAAGATTCAATGCCAACAAACATCTGCAAGAGTCCGTGCACGGCTGTCCACCTCCATCGCAGCAAGATCTGGAGCTGATAGCTCTGATAGCCAGCAGCCGCCCGCCCTTCAAAGATCAATGCGCCACCTTGCTCGTCTGACTACGTTTACGCACCGTAGATGATACCCATGCTGACCCCAAGTCGCCGGTACAAGCCGCTTCAGCTGCGCTGTGCAGCTAATGTGCGATAAGCGCCACCTAAGCCTATACTCCCCTTAGAGAGGACATGTAATAAGTTTAATCCCTTCAAGATTCACAAAAGTCCTAATGAAACTATAGAAATGTCAAAGAAAACCTCCAGCTCACCTCACATCAAATTATGACGCTACATGCGCGTCGAGCTGCGTCACTCGTCTGGGCAGCAAAGGGTTGGAAGTGCAACAGCTACTTGCATGGCTCAAGCCGAGATTGAAGTAACTGCGCGCGGAAAGAATAAGAACACAACGTCATTTGCAGTGCACGGTTCCACATTCATCTGTGTTCCGCCATACGCCACATCTGATCCAGTGAGTCAGTGGTAAGTCAGTAGAGAAAGCTGGTACGACACACGTGCCTCCTTAAACCTCAGGCAATCTCCAGGGCGCCGGCACCCACAATCTCAAAGTATGGGTCAGTGTCCACGGTTGTGACGGCCTGCCGGATGTTTGCAGCTGTGCTTGCAGCTTACAATGCAAAACGGCAAGTGCAAGCACGCTCGAGTGCATCAGAAGCAACCTCTTTGTCCTTGCAAATTTGGTCAACGATAGGACTGGAAAAGCCCGAGCTGAGGGTCTGTTAACGGCCTCGCCGGCGGCGCAGAAGCACATGTGAAACAGACGTGCGTATTGATGGAAGCGCCAGCTATCCACCATATCTGACTTGCCCTAAGTCATGAAGGCCTAAAGCCTGACAGGACTTAGGGCAAAAGAGGCGTGATCCTTCGAACAAATCTTCCAAGTGCGGGTCCCTTCTGAAAGGGCTGAGTGCTCTCAGATGCTTCGCCAAGTGGTCCGCTTGACCATTTTGCCGACAATTTCCAATCCAGCAAGCATGGATACAGAAGTTCGTGCAAAGTACATAACTATTGAGTAATGCGAATGTCTTGGCGGCGCATCTTGCAGGCGGTAAGCAATGTGTATGACCTGAATGAGGTGCCCAATGCCAACGCCAAAGAGAATTAAAAATTGAATTTCGGATGTCAGTCCTTGCTGAGGAGAAGAAGGATAGCGTGAATGCTGAGCGGCCAAGCAGCAGCACAGGTGTGCAAGACCTGTGCAGCTGTCTTTCAAATGTGCCGGCCCGCTCAATCAAATTGACACAACTCCTCAACTCGCCACGTTTGGCTGCACACCTTAGCACACAGCCCGCAGAAATATAGAGTTCTCTTCAGGAATCGTGGCCAGTGGCAGAGTTACATAACTCATGGTTTGAAGACAATCGTGGATCGCATGCCGGCATTGCTGGCTTGCTAACGCCCAACTGCAGACATGAAAAGTATGAAAAGTACGTGCCCCGTGTGTTCATCGAAGATTGCACCGTTGCCGAGAAAAAACCATGTCCTTGCAGTTCCGGGCAAGTCGGATTACTGAAGGAGCTCTTCATCGCATTCCCTATACTATAGTCAAAAGCTTATGCCTCTGCGGGAGCTCACACGTTCTCAGCACGACTACTCCCAGAAGCACGTAGACTCTATCTACACTCTCGACGCTAGACCGGGCCTTGAGACACATTGCGCTTCTGTGCCTGCCAAAATTTGTACAGTGTTTAAAAAAATCGCCATGGCTGCGGGGGAAATCAACTCCCCTGGGACCCGTTCTGTGCTCAGTGACCTACAACGGGAGTTGACGGTCTTGCCTGGCCCACTTTTGTGGTGACAGTGTGCGAATCACGCCTTCTGCTTGCACAATTGTCATCCTGAGTTGTGCTTTGAACCCTTTGAAAATTATTTATGAACAGGTTCCCTTAAAAGGAAAAAGAGGAAATTAAAAAATATCCCCAAGCACAACCCAGCATCTCTTCATCTGTCACATGATGAGGATTCGGGAAAGCACGCTGACGGCGCCGGAGACCAGCGATCCCAGCCTTTGCTGAGCCCACCCGGAGCAGCCATCTATCCGCAGCTCACTAGTGCCAACATGCCAACATGTGCCAAACCTTAGGGTTTAGGGTTTAGGGTTTAGGGTTTAGGGTTTAGGGTCTAAACCCCAAACCGTAGACCCTTCAAGCTTAGTCGCACGATGAACTGCTTGAGAAAGATTTCCTGTGTGAGCTTTACATCGTGGATGAAGAAGCCCGCTGAGCTGTCCTTTGCGCAATCTTCAACAAGCCACACGTAATTTCGAACTACTCTTTCAGTGTGAAAGCGTGTTTCAATCGCATCAACCCAAAGGATGAAAGGATGATGATGCCCAGCGGCTGTGATATACCTCACCAGATACTGGCGATCAGCATCGTTCGGTTCGTCTGACGGGATTTGATTGACGAAGGCCGGTATGGCTCGGCACTTCCTTATCTCGAGAACTTTTCACACTGGCTCATGTGTGCGCGAAACTGGTCAGCCTGTGGTGAGCATCTCGTAATCCCTGCCGAGCTTCTCAGTCAATGCGGCCCCGTGAGCACACACACGCATGTTCAGAATGAAGAGGAAGAGCAATGGCACAGCGGCAAGAATCTCCGCCAACAAGCTCTCGAGATAGAAGTCAGTCCGAAATGCGAAGCTCACTGCCCCTCCTAGAAAAAAGGCAAAGCCAACAGCTCCCACTGCTTGCAGAGCCACAAAGCCACCAGCAAGCTCTCGGCCAACGCATTTGAGCAGTGCCTGCATCGCGTTCCAGCTGCTCACGCACTCGATGAAATCGGGGCACTCAACGATCTGCCCGCACCAACAATCCAAGACTTTGTCCAGTCCCAGCAGGAGATGAGACTGCACGTACGTAATCACCATCAAGGATGCGCTGGACACTGCAAAGCACAGCAACAGCGTGAGTTTCACAGCATATATCGCCCAAATACCCTCCTCGGCTGGAGCAAAGCTCTGAGCGTGGTAGCGAGGCATGAGGTATCCATGTCAATGCGTGGGAAATGTGAGAAAACTTCAAACTAATTGGCAGATAGGGTAATTGCAAAAAAATGTGATGCTACTTCTCGGCCACCATATTCCACCATGAAACATTCAGCACAATCAGGCGAGGGGCCCACTCATCAGTGAGCGGTAGTTCGATGTCCTGCTGACTGATCCAGATTTCCAAGCCAAATTGCCCCAGGCCGCACAAGACGAGACAAAGCCAGGCCACAACGTACCTGAGGCTGAGGAAGTTAAGACGTTTCTCAAGTTTGAGGCTGGAAAAGATGTGTTGCGCTTCGAAAAAGCATTCGGCTGCACAGGTCAGCGCGTACTGCCATGGGTGGACGTCCAATGTGAAGAGGTTGCGCGGATCGGCCTTGAGACTGGATCTCCTAGCGCAGGCCTTATGAATCTCGAGAGTTTCGGGCCTCGAAAGTTTGGGTGTGTGAGGTCAAAGGGTTGGAGCAGTGGCGAGAAATTACAGGACCGGATAAGCCCACAAGTTCTTCTCTTGCCTGCCCCGATGGGGATGGGGGACGGTGTCGCGCATCAGTCGGAGTGTCGGATGCGTCTCTCTTCTTCTTCTTCTTCTTCTTCTTCTTCTTCTTCTTCTTCTGCCGGGCTTGGGGGGCCCGACGGCCCTCGCGCGAGGCGCGCCCAGTCGCATGTCCATCGTGAGACTGTCACTCGCCATCTCTCCCTCTCTCTCTGTGTTGATGTGTGTGTTGCTGTGTGTGTCGGTGTGTTGATGCATGTGTGTGCGCGTGTTGATGTCTCTCTGTGTGTATGTGTGTGTTGATGTGTGTTGATGCGTGCTGATGTGTGTTGATGTGTGTTGATGTGTGTTGGTGCGTGTCGGTGCGTGTCGATGCGTGTCGGTGCGTGTCGGTGTGTGTCGGTGTGTGTCGGTGTGTGTCGGTGTGTGTTAGTGTATGTTGGTGTGTTGGTGTGTGTTGGCGTGTGTTGGTGTGTGTTGGTGTGTGTTGGTGTGTGTTGGTGTCTTGGTTGGTGTGTGTTGGTGTCTTGGTTGGTTGGTGTGTGTGTGTGTGTGTGTGTGTGTGTGTGTGTGTGTGTGTGGGTGG